TGCTCTCCTCTCTTTTCTGTTCTGTCGCTTGTTTATGGCTGCCAGAGTCTATGGAACTGCCCTCATACATATTGAAGGGGCTTTTGAGGAATCCACCAGTGTGCTTCTTTTTCATCCTCCTCTGCCTATTTACATTTGAGTGTCAGTCTCTCCTCCTTTTTCTCCCTGAGTCTGTCTGTATCTCTAAAAAGTACTTTTGCATTCCGCTATTCATTTTCTGTTTTTCTCACTCTCTTCCATCTGCCCACTTCAACACAGCCCCCCCTTCCCGTTCTCACACCACTTTGCTCCAAATTTTCTTTGTCTAAATTTTTGTTCTGGCTTTGGTTTTGCAGATTAAAACTCTAGTGTGCATCTCTCAAAGCCTTAAAGCACACTCGACTCCATTTTTTTGTTCTCAGGCTCTCTCCCATCTCAAAATGTTTCAGTAAATCACAGTCTTTCTTAGTCTTTCTCACAGTTGTTCTTGCTTGAAAATAATACATTTTATCCAGTTTTATTTCCAGCCGCTTGGCTCCAAATTTTCTTGAGTAAATACAGTAATGATATATTTCTGCTTTTCAGAATCATAGTACTTTTCACTTTATCTTTATTATTTTGTCCCATCTTTCCAAGCTTCCTGTCATACTGTGCTTCCCTATCTTTGTGTTTGCATGTTGTGCCTCTTCTGAACATCTTATTACATCTTGTACCTCTTCTCTTCCCCCTCTGTCCTTCTGGTTTATTTCCTGTCTATTTCTATCTTTCTCACTCTCTTGCCAGCCCCCTCATATTTATTTGGCATCTGTCCTTCCTTCCACTTCTCCTCTGCACTCACTTTCGCATCAAATATATTTATGTTTACACATTAAGTCTCTTTTCACCTTTTTTTTTCAAACCTTCCTCCTTCGTATCTCCTCCTTGTTATTAAACTTCCTGTAGGTTTCTGTCTCAAATGTAGAATTTCTGATGGTTTTGCACTGGCTGAAACAGAAAAGGATGGATGAGGTGGATTCTTCTCTGTCCATTTTGTTGCTGCTATCCAGCCATTACAAAATGATTCTGTATTTCCCAAGAGACGGCATTACACTGTTCATTTGTTTGTCCGTGCATCACCTGTAATATCTCAGACACCACATACTAGAGTTTGACAGTCTGAGGGAAATGATGTATCGCACCTCTAAAATTTCAATTTGCACAGGAAAGGGGGCCATAATTACAGGTCAGTGAAAGCAACATGTTTGCTAATTACTGGTCCAAAGGTTTCCCTGCATCATTTGTCTTGGAAAACATGTTTATTGTTGCCTTATGGTACACTATATCCCTCATTTCCTCTATTTCCCTTCACTTTTTTTTTAACTTTGCATATTGTCCCTCTTAAGTACATCTTTTTTAAGCTCTTCACTCTCATCTCACACGCCTCCTCACTTTTGCTTTCATTCTTGGTCTTACACTCTTGTTATCTAACACTGTGTTTGCATTTCTTCTCTATCCGCCTCCCCCTCATCCGCCTCCTTCTCAGCTGCTCTTTGTCTCTCAGTTTGGCTTGTATGGTGGGTATGCAGGCGTACATATCTGTGTGTCTGTATGTGTGGGTGCTTCCGAGTGTGTGTGCTTTCCCAAACATCTAAGCAAAGTGAGTGCCTGGCTTTCAGCAAGGCCATTCACTGGGACGTCATCTTAATAGTCTTACCTGAACTCCAGTCTCTCGGCTGACACACTGATCACTGGATATGGCTGCGCATAATCAACCACCTCTTTGTTTACCTCTGATAATTAACCATAGCTAATTAAGAAGTGGCACTTACCATTTCATCTCTTTGCTGTAACACTGGGGTTTCTCACTGATTACCTTTGTTTTACTTTAAAATTGCTCCACCTAGTTACTAACTTTTTATTTTATTGCCTCAGGACAGTCAAAGGAAAATCAACATTTGTGTCTGTACAGGCAAAAACAAGACCATGAACAAATTTATTCTTCACAGGCAAACTACTGCTGTCTTTACAGAGTCTGTCTTTCATGAGAGAGGTAGACTTGTGCAATGCTAATTGGAGGAAACATCACTTCCACTGATGTGCTGTAAAGAAAGAGCTCATAGGTTCATGAATGACTCCTGCAGCGGAGCTGCACTGACTAACAATGGAGGACAAAAACCAAGGAGGCCAGTGTAATGAGACACACACTGGACCAGGCACCACTGGTCTGTTCACACCAGCACAGTTCACTTATGTAAATAGATAGTGAGGTGTCGTTTGGGGATTGGGGACATGATGACAGTCTGTCATTAAACCTCTCATTTGTATTCACAGTGAATGGACCAAACACTTCTCCTTTACTGGCCATGTTAGAGAGCAAGAAGGAAGAAAATGGCAACAAGTATTCAACAGAAGACAAGCAGTTAAAACCTGTTGGGTTGAGGTGGACTGAAAGTGCAGACTGGACATGATCTGAGAACATATTACCCAAATTGCAATCAGGCAGCAGGTTGTAGCAACTTTCCTAAACCTAAGTGAATGTTGTTCCTGTACAGCGGTAGATATAATTATAGTTGTCATTGATTTTTAATAGGAAAAATAATCTGTTTCAGTTTCTCCTTCCAGGATCATGCAAAGTGTAACTCTATGACATCATCTAATTACTCTGGTTGAAATGGTTGAACAAAACAAATTATGGGAAGTCAAGTTCCCATGCCTACATGGAACAGTTTCCCCTATCATTTTCCTATATCTCATTTTCATGCCACAGAACAGGCTCAGTGCAAATTCTGTCAGGGATTTGAGGTGGATAGGGTTGTGTTTATATGTGTTTGTGCACATCTGTGTTTGTGTCTATGTAGATATGCAAGCCTGCATAGATCCATGTGTTTGTCTGTATGTCTGTCTGTCCATCTGCTATAACAGTACGTATATCAGCACTGAGCTGCAGTTTTGTTTCCACAACAATTTTTGATTGCAATGCATATGATAATTATGCTGGCAGTCCTCCTCACCCTCTTATCTTCCCACTGAGCCAGAAAAAACAACTGGACTCTAAAAAATTGATCCACCAGGATGAACACGCTTCATGAATACAAAATACATTATATAGAATGGCCTGCTTGACACTGAAAAGCATACAATTACTGTACCATCTATATGTGCCTTTCCGCATTTGAACTGCTAGATCTGAAATGGTTAGTCAGGTTGGACAGAATTTTAAGTGCAGACTGCATAAACTGTCAATACTCAGAGCCACTGAATAGATTGTCTATAATCTACAGAGGACTCCTCTTGAGTCTTTTTCTGCAGAAAGTAAACAATAAAAGTAAAGACTTTATGTAAACCACTTGACAGAATGGTGGTGTGGGTGTTCTGTAGAGGTGATTATTCAAAGATGAGGACAACAGAGCACAGGGTCAGACCTGAGTTAACAGGAGATGCAAATGGATTGTTGGTAGTTGCTTTAATTTGCTTGGAGCACCGGATGAGTGGGGATGTAACTGCACTGTCAGATAAAATGTTGATGTGCAATCATCTGTTCATTTGACAGTTTAATTATCTTGTGAATCTCTCATGCCTACGGTCTTAAGCTTCTAAAATTTCACATATTTTTTCATGGTAAGCTAATCAAGATGAGGCCTATTTAAGCAAAAACATTACATCTCAAAAAACCTCTGGGATGCATATACTGTAAGAATGTTCTATTTATTTCACTCTTGCTTTTTTTGGAATAGAATGCCTTTCTGATTAAGTGTTACATCCTGGTTACATCAGGAAGGTGTCCTACAGTCTCTGCATTCCCTCACTGCTTTCTTAAATAAGGACCAAAACCCTGCAGTTTATATGATCACATACCTGAAACTTATCATGGAGTCAAACATTGGCAAATCTGTGCAATTAGCTGTTTGAATTAATTTCCTGGATTGTGGAAAGAGAGAAAGAAGCTTTTGTTTTTGCAGTTTGCTGTGATACCTTTGAAAGTGGTTACACTGCTAAGTGAGCATAGCAAATACAGTGCCATGTCAAGAAGAGGCAGACTTTAAAACTCCTTCGGGCAGTAAGGGTCACCGGGCTGAACAAGCTGCTTTGGTCTAGATTAGCTATGTCAGTGGAGAATCAGGATCTGCAATGTATCAGACAGCATGGAGGTGATATTCTTCCAGTAAACGATACATTATTTGTATCTGACTGTCCAGATTTTCCTCAAGTTTTAATGATTGTTCCATAGGCTGGGCTGCTCATAATATTCAATGTTAACTTGGATTTTACTTCCATTGGAATATTATCCTTAGGATAAATATAAGATTCACAAATAGTGCTAGTGGGAACTCACGTCTGTCTTCATACAAAGAGACATAGAAAACCTGAGATAAAAATGCCAACTTCTGTGCAAGAAATCACTATGCAAACAAGCCAGATGTTGCCCAACCAGTACTCAAGCAAGGGTGGTGCCCTTCAATGACAGATTAGCACTGTGAAGGAAAAACATTAGTTTGAACACATTCAGCACTGAACAGTTTACCTGAAACAAGTGTACAACATAATGCAAAAGCCTTGTAATAAAATAAAAAATTTAAGACAGTGACATCTGTTGTGGTTGTAGCTATTCTCAAACTGTCCTGCTTCCCTTTGTAGAGTTTATAGTCACACTGAAATGTTTTACAAAGCATAAGCATTTGTAGTATTTTAAGTAGTATACACTATAAATGTCCAAAATGTAAAGTTTTACAACATTAGAGGTGACCAATGTGATGAGGTTACTGTCAACAACCACATTAAACAAGCGTCTATGGACATGTCAAATTTTGACAAACGACAGTAGATGTTTTAAAAAAATGTGTTGGAGGCTCATGTAGACACTCTGTACAGGCTGGAGTGTTAATAATGTGCACAGTACAACATGAGCACACACAGTACACAAAGAAACCAGCCGAGCTCGTGTCTCTCGCACGGCCCTCTGATTGGTCTAGTCTGTTACTGGAGGCGGAGATTGTGACTGTGGGCGTTTGACAAAACCTGCCTCCGTGCAGCTCAAACGTTCATTTACTACGGATTAGTCGAGATAAGCTGACCTTGCTGTAGTTACCATTGTTCTATGCGTTTACATGCTTGTTGTCTTTGCGAGCCGCTGCATGCGTAAAGTGTTTGTTTGAGCGTGGAGTCTCCAGGTGCACGGTCGACATCTCTCGGAAAACTTTTTGTTTGTTTGTTTGTTCTTTTCCTTTTTCACACAACCTACCTGAGTTGTGCTTCACTTCTGCACGCCTTCACTCCTCTCCACCATGGATTTGGTTTGGATTGTGGGTTTCCTTGTGAGCATCTGCGCCTGGTTTGCTTCAGCGGAGCGGCACAGCGTCTTCTGGAACAGCACGAACCCAAAGTAATTGTACTTTTTAATTTGTGTTTTCCGATTTATGTTCAGTTCTCTTAACCCACGCTTGCATTCACTTCTTTATTTTGCAACGCACATCCTGATTGTTTGGCGTCTTAAATATAAACGAACTTTTAACCTAATTCTCACTGCAGATTGGATCACTATGATCCATATTCATATGTATTTGAATAGTTGCAACGCATGTATATTCAGTGAGCTTGTTGTAATGAATTTGTAATGGCAGCAACTGATTGCTGTTTTCATGCAAGACAGTTTGGAGTCTCTCTCCCTCCCTCTCCCTCCCTTTTTGGCTTGAACCTGTTATGTTGCTATTTACCTGCGATACTTTGCCTAGCCTGTTCAGAATTTAATCCGTTTCGCAATCTGTGCTACGGGGTTCATTTCATCAAGTTTTGCCATCTATTTATCTTTCTGATCTCAAAGTGAGCCAGTTAGAGAGCTCTTACTTTGGAGGGAAGAAAGCTCCTTGATGTGGGTGAATGTAGGGAGAGAGAGAAATGCAGGCAGCTATGGGGGTATTTTTCATTTAAGGGGGAGTGATCTGTGAATGCTACTACATCTCCTTCTTTGGACTCTTTATGTGCATTTTTTTTGCACTGACTTAATTTATTTGTAGGAGTCCTTGCAGCAAAAATTTTGTTTTTTTTCTGTCACTTTTTGGCCTGTTGTGTCTTCATTCATGAGAATAAATCCTATGGGAAAGGACTACTTTTTTCTTAGCGGGAGTTCGATTTTTTTGTGGTGATTTTACAGGTGTGACACACAGCCCAACATGCTGAAATATCTGCTGCAATATCCTCCCCATCTGACAAAGAGTCCTAACCTCTGTGTGGAGTGGGAGGTTGCTGCATCTCCTAAATCAAGAGATATTACATGTGGTTTATGGGGCTGTCGGCGAGACATAGGAGTGTTCATATTTCAGGTGGTAAGACGAGTAATAATGGTGTATGACAGAGACAGAGGAGGTAACTTGAAGCCAGCCCAGCAGGTCATGCTGTGGGGGAGAGATGGATTGCTCAGGGAGCAGAAATTGGAGCTCAAATTGTCAGGGTTAGGGGCCATTCAGCACAAGTGGGGGTCAATTAGAATTATGGTTGATGATGGCTGGGATTGGGGTATGAAGAGGGTTAGGTTTACACACCACAAAGAAAGCTCTACAGGCACCCCTACCCACTGACATACACAGGCAAGCACACACAACAGTCTCCTGACAGAATCACTCAATCACAAACCAGGACTCCCAGTCTGACCAACTGGCAGCATATAAAGTCAATCAATGCTGAGCTCACCCTTTCAGTGTTCAAGCACATGTCTTTTCTTGGCTTGAAACACAGATATTCAAATATTCTCCCACAAGCTAAACACTCTTTTCCTCCTGATGTCCCCTGTGGTTTAAGCTACAGTGTTTCTGTTCTCAGAAAGGCCATAATTGCAGTGACAAAGCCTTTCACTGAAAATCAGAAGTCAAAGTCCGAGATTGAAAGGCATTTTGTTGTGTCCCCACTGTGGCACAGCAGTGATCATTCCTGTATATATACTGGTAATCCGTCCTTTTGCATTTGCTGATTTTATCCAGATGCCTGTGCCTAAATCTCTCCCTTTGGCTGCTCTTAATCCTGTACTTGTAGAAAAACCACAGAGCTTCTGAGATGTTTTCATTTGGTACTTTTCGTCTTTCCCTGCAATCTGCTCTCCCCTTTGACCTGTTACTTGATACAGTGTGTTGACGTTCGTCTTTTACCTCATGAAATGTGTTGGGTTTTTTTTTTGGCTTCAGTTTATTGTTTCATCCCACTAGGCAGAAAGCTGCCGTTAATCAAATTGATCACAGATTGATCACTTTGGCCCTTGTCGTACAGGCCTGATTACTTTTTCTTTGTGTTTTGGTAGAGGGATTTAGTAACTTACACATTCATCCATTTACATGCACAGTTACCCTGCTCACCACTAATTTGAGTGCATGTATGAGCACGCCTTGGGGCCCGTTGACATCCAAGGTCGGATCTGCCTGTACTTTAATGAATACTTTGTTTCAGCATTAGTGAAATCTGTTTCTGACAGTGTGTGTTTAGAAACTTTTACATTGTTAGCATGTTTGTAACCTTTGTGTCAGATTAGCAACGGCTTAATCACCAGCACAGGTTGGTTCCCAGAAAGAGGCTCACCAGTCTGCCCAGTAAGCGTGGGTCCCGGCATGCCAGTGTGTCTACGTGTCTTTTGTGAAGGGAGTGTCTGTGTAGAAGTTCGCTCACATGTACAAGATCACCGGATCTGACTGACTCACACACTCTCATCCACATTAACCCAGTCGTCCATGCACACATGTGCCACACGGTTGTGATTGATGTTAAAATCGTCCCAGGAACCTTCAGGACTCCACAACTTTAGTGTGAGACAATAATCCACTCTTTCATCGCTTCTTTCTCCCTTTCCCCCTCTGCCTGCTGACAGAGCATGAGTATACCACCCCCCCTCCCCCTCCTCCTCCTCATCCTCTGCTTTGTACCTGTCTCTCACTCTCTCCGGCACCTCCCTCCCCCTCTTCTTGGCCAGGTTCCCTTTTCAACTTGGTGCTGTGGTCTCTAGTTATGTGAATCTGTTAACCGTTTCATGGCTCGCTCACACACATCTGTTTGACCTGCTGTTTATTTTAACAGAATCTTTTCTGTGATCATAACACATTTTTGAGCAAATCTGTTCTTACTCTGAAGTCTTTAATTTTCTGTCTTTCTAATGGGATCTTTGACGTTAGTAAAACCACGATAGACTTCCAGATTGTTGGCTCAGTGGTTTAATTCATTTAACTGAACATGCAGTTTGTGCTGTGTTGGCTCAAATGAAGAAGTTATTTAAGGTATGTTTCACCCACATGAAGGATTTTCTTGTTACTTTTGCAGTCGCTGTGGGTGTTTTGTGATGATTCCCATACAAATTGGGGAATAGTCTTCACGGTGAGCCACAGAAAGAGACTAGTAACTGGTGTGACCGATTGGAGTTCAGAGTTCACTATGTGATGAAGTGGCACAGCCTCTATCAATCTGTCAGTCATTCTGTCACGGCGGTGGTCCCTGAATACTGGCTGCCACTCAGGCCAGCCCCTCTTCACACAACCGTGGCTCTTACTCTGGGAAACTCTCATTCTCTCCCCTCCTGTCTTTTTGGTCCCCTTCACTCCTTCACCAGCTTTTATCTCTACTTTACAAGCTGTCCCTTTTCAGTCTGTTATTTCCTCACCTCCAACTCTGGCTTGCGGAGAATAGAGGAAGGAGCGAAAATTGCTAAGAGTTGTGGAATTTATTTATTTATTTTTTTATCATTCTTGGCACCCATGGCGATCCGTCACAAGGCACTTTGCCATTTCCTTCTTGCTTGTTTCTCCCTCTTAATATCCACTCTAGTCTTCTCAGCAGACCTGTTTAACTTTTTTCTCCTCTTCCTGGTCTTTTCACTTCTCTGTCCGCTTCAACGACACCCCTCATGAGGGCAGAGGCACACATGGACAAAGTGGTAGAGGCGGTCTGAAAATCCACACCATGAAAGGAGAGGAATTAAATGAAGGGGAAAAAAACAAATGTGTACTGCAGAAGTAAGCGTCTCTGCCTGGCTGTTTGCACGTGTGCACATACATGTTTGAGAGATGCAAGATCAGATTGGGTAGTCACATTAGCAAGTGTCATGGGGTGGGCACATTAGATAAGGGATTTTTGTGATTTCCAAGTAGTCTGACCTCAAACTACTTTCCTAGTGTTAGGTTATTATAATGGTTTTTAGCCTTTACTAGAAAAACATCCAGGTTTCCTAGTTCACTTCCTAATCCAGCTTTCAATCAAAACCCACTGCACACCCTTCCCCCTCTTTTTAGCCAACTCCTAAATCTATCTGTCTTTCTTTAGCATCGTCTGTCCCTTTACCCTTCCTCCACCCTTAATCTGGCCTTGTAATCTGTCTGGTGAATTTCATCTGGGGATAATACTCTTGAGAGAGTGTCAAATGGGTGCTGTTTGCCTCTTGTAGGCTCACTGATCATTGAACTGGGCTGAGGTTTCCTGTGTTTACACTCTGTAAGAAGACTGCATCAGTTACACATTAGAGTTTTATTTTCAAAGGCTGATATTCTTCCTATTGAATATTCCCATTTGTTGTTGCAGTGTCAGAGGCAGGAGGGCTTGTTTTATTGACTGCACTAGACTGTGAATCAGGCCAAAGGTTCTAACTTCCTCGCTAACCCCAGCATGCTGCTGGTGTTAGCAAAGTTTGCTGGCTGTCTGCTGTGTATTTCCCTGTGAAGTGCTGTACTTCCTGACTACGTCTTTTCCCGGCAAAACCGCGTATCCTGTCTGCACAATAAACAATACGTTTCTCACACACCACCACACGAAAGACTGTAAAAGTCTGGACTTGGGAGCTGATTGAATTTCCCAGGCTCATTTGAGAAATGGATATGCTCAACCTCTGAGACTTGATTGATGACAAGTGATTAATAGTGATTTGTTGTTTTTGTGAGCAGTCGGCTTGACTGTCAGGCCTTAAGGATGATTTAGGATACTGTCAAACCTCTGTCTGTCTCTATTTGGGATCATCTGATCAGAGTCACCCTGGTCAGCCCTGCCAGTGTGTTTCTGCCCCCGACCCATCCTTGTGTCTCGTCCTTATCTATGCAGCAGACTTCCCCTGCTACTTCCCACTCTGCTCCTCCTCTGTGAGCTGCTTTACAACTGTTGAGTCCCACACACAGACATCATCATGCTCCATTAGTGCACAGATTTGTGATTATGGCACAAATATGAGTTGGACATTTCTTTCTCGTGTGTGTGTGTGTGTGTGTGTGTGAGGGAGTGATGCAAAGTGTGGCCCTGTAGACTTGTTTGTCAAGTCTTGGAGACATCCATTGTATGTGTTTGGAAGAGAAAGAATTACCCTCCAAGATTCCGATATTATCTCTGAAAAGGAGCCATAGTGTTGGTTTTCTTTTATAAATAAAAGTC